TGGCCATCGCTGTTGTCGATTCCGACAGATATGGATATGGCGGCAAGAAGAGCTTGGTGGGCAATGTCGTCGGGCGAGAAGTACATGAGATGCGCGGGACTGCGAGGATCGAGGCGGAGGAGGTCCATGCCGACTTCCTTCATGGAGAGATTAAGGTAGACCGGAGGCTCAGAGCTGTGGCCCATTTCGATCTGCTTGGTGAGGCCAAGGAAGCCAATCGCGAACTGAAATTCATGGATACCGCGGAGGATAGAGCTGGCGAACTCGCGCGAATCGGACACGGTACGGACAAGGTTCTCTTCGCGGCTGTTGGGGTCGTCGAGCTCTTCCATGACATCGCTGAGCGATACGTGTGTCCGACTGCCCCGAGATCGTTTCCGAGGGACAGGCGCGCGACACTTCTGGGCCCTTTCCATGCACAGCTTGACATCGTCGAGTGGAATGAGGAGGCGACCCAGCTTGAGTGCGATGGACGCATCGCGCAGACCCTCGAGGCCTTTCTTGAGGAAGCCGTGGACGTTGAGGGTACAGTGATCCAGTAGTTCGGTCGACTCCCTGCCCTCTGGGGTGAAGAGGATGCTGCGGGCGGAGAAGAGCCATTCGGCAGGCCACTGCTCCTCGTCGGACTTGGGCTTGTGGTGGTTGAAGAGGCGACTGCGATCGACCGTCTTGCGCCGTGTGTCGACTGCGAGATTGAGGCCGCCGACCTGGATAGAGCCCACATCGACTACGACCAGGGTGGTCGCGTGCGCCACGACATCGACCTGCCTGAGCCAGTTGATGTTCCTGTGCAGACGCTTGATCTTCTCCTTGGCATCCGTCAGCCGCTTCCACGTCAGGCTTCGCGGTGTCTCGTCATCGCCCAGCTCGTCGTCCTCCGCTACGGGTTCGGGCGTGTTCTGGCCGCTCTTGCCCTTTTGTGTAGTGCCGTTTGCCCAATGGGCCCATCCCGTCTTCTTCCGCGGCTTCTCTCCCAGCGCTTTGAGGTCGACCGTGACTTTGAGCTCGTGCAGGACGATGCTGACTACCGTGGGTTGTGCGAATGTGGGTCGGTGAAGGGTGAAGCCGAGTCCGCGGATCTCGATGCGCAGGCCATCCTTGGGCGTGAAGGCGATGCGTCGCAGCCCGCGTAAGCCCAGGCGCTGTATGGAGACCCCAGTGGCTATGCGTATAAAGGCGAATAGGACAAAGGAGAGCAGGTATATGAGGAGCACGAGCCCCGCGAGGAACTGGAGGGTTGGCAGAGCCATGATGCTGCTTCAACCGTATGCCATTGACCGAGTCGAGGATTATCGAACGAGGTGGTCGCGAGTGCACGCGACGTACCTGAGTGATAGGAGCGTCGGCTGGCGGAACATAATCGAAAGGAGCGCGGGCGTAGGGCTACGAGGGTTGCTGCATCGAGGGCGAGGGTGTACGTAGGTGAAAGCGCGGACTTAACGGTCGGGGCAGATGAAAGCGGCCAAAGCGGCAGGCCCGGATCGCGTCGCTGGGTCGTAGCGGCTGTGGCTAGTGAAAAATTCAGGGCGAACAGGAGGATCGCGATCTAACAAACTCGATGTAGGCCCTCTCCAGACGCTCTGCGGGGCTCCGTAACTGCTTCGCTTGGTGTCTTGTGCTGATGCCGTCAGATTTCCAGGTTCCCACGCTTCGTCGGCACAGCATCCCTGCATCGCCAAGACCCACCCGCGTACCGGGAAGGAGCTTAAACGCTCCTGCCACGCGACTGTCACCCAACGACACGTCTGCGTGCTCGCTGAGTCACGCTCACGTGCTACAGACTTGCACTGGCATGACTATGTGTTTCCGTGGTGTTAGGCCAGACGGCTTTCCGACCAAATCAATCCGACCACCCATCTAGCCAGTCGTTCCTGCCAAGCACGACCGGCCGCGGCTGTCTGCATACGTGGGACGACAGATCATGGAACCTCATCCCGCATTACGGCCGAACTCCAACGGCGTCGGGAACAAAGAGATGCTATCCTTGCGGTGGATCATGACCTTCGAACCCTACAAAACTTCTCCAGTTTATCTCTCAGTTCCATTTGTACACGCACTGATCCCAGCTCTGTCGGTGAACTTGTCTGGATGATTGTCCCTCGCTGTCACCTTCCTCTGCGCGTTCAATGCGGCTTCCTCGAAGCCTCGCGCCTTCGCAACAGCTGCTCATACCCCGGTATCCGGCAGGAAGCGCGTGCAAGTAGAAAGAAGCGAGCGATGTACCTCAAACTTGGAAACGTCGCACCTCTATCACTATAGCACATCACATCGCCAAAACATGGTTAGCCACAATCCCCACGCAAATATACATAGTGCAGCTCCGGTTGGGAGTGCAAGGGACACGTTACCCATGATTCTTCCGCCACCCCATCCAAAAGAGTTCTCCCGCTACGCGGATCCCATGGGCTTCACCTACATATATGCATTCTCGCTGATCGACGCACAAAACATCATCTCCAACAACGACCCCAATTACCAAGCCAAGTCGCCCATCGCAGTCTTCTAGGCACGAACAGCTGATGTCGCCGACAAGCCCAGGACACCATGGCATCTTATCAACCCCGCTCTATCCGCCGCTACTGCCAAGATGTTTTGGACAGAAAATCAATGTCGCCCAGAACCCATGGTTGTTTGTCGGGAAGATTTTCGCGCGGCGTCGGGCGAGATGATCCAAAGGGAATACCAATGGCGAGATTGGCAACACAATGACGAGGCTAGGTGCTTCGTAAGGGATTCGCCAAGCATCGCGAGCACAGCGGGTATCAGATACGCTGCACCAGAAATAAAGGATGCGAAAACAGCATGGGCTCACTAGGAGGAGTGTCGGGACAGGGCTATACTCGCGAGATTTAGGGGTAAGTCTTGACTGCACGAAGTGCATGTGAGACATATACTGACTTCGTACCTCTACCGCTGCAGTACCGAAAAAAGGAGCAGGAGCACCTCGGGTTCAGAGGCCTCTTCACAGAAAAACATTCATGCGTTATGCTTGATTGACTAAGAGGGCATTTTTTTACTTCTTGCTACGCTGGTGCGCAACTGAGGGCTCAATGCCTAGTGTTTGTCAGTTTGGACTTGGCGGATGCATGTAGTCATCCACTGATCAATTTCATCTTTGACGCTCACAGACGCTCACGCTGTCTCTGTCATTGTTTCGATAGATGGTTGTCTAATATTACTCATCCAAGCAACATGTTTTTCGCTGTTCTATCATCAACAGCAAACCCGGACACCTACCTGTCCAATGTTTGGATGCACTAATTCCACGACACGGCTGGGCAACTATCACCAGCATCCTGGTGATAATATCGCGAGGCCTTTGATATTCATCATATCATATCGAATTTGATATTGATGAAAGGTCGTGGATGTCTCAACTTGCGTTCTCAGTGGTGCAAAGACGCGGAAGGTGGTGACGTCATAGCAGGGCGCGCTCAGGTTGAATCACGAACCACCACTCTTACTCCGTCATTCCCATCACCACAACGCGATGCGCTGGCATTACCCGGACTCTGACGCGTCTTATGTATTCTTACAGCACAACATGAAGTTTAACGCGCATTTAACACGTGAGCAGTGACATCGTGTTCGCGTTCTACGGGTTATTGACTACGAAACAGTCGCTAAGAGAACGCAGGTCGATGCATCACGTCCTAGCGAGCGCGCCTGCCATTCAACCATGAACCAAACTTGTCGCATGCACACTGCGAACGTGTTACCGCACGTCAATCACGACAGATGACCTCGAGACCGCCTTCGCTGCTGCAGGGACATTGTTAGCTTCGAAGGAGCTCTGACCGTCGGCCACGATGTCCGGAAAGAGTGAATGGCTAAGCTGCAGCGACAGCAGCCAGAGTTGCTACGTTGGATCTCAGCCTCAAAACCCTGCCTTTTGTCGACTCTCCCGTGCGCAAACCCCTTGTTTATCAGTCAGTCATCACTTCGGAACGCTTACACTCAACATATACGCCGCTACATCCTGATCTACCTTAGTGGGCTTGGATACTTCAAAACAATCATCTACAATATGCGCACCCGGCCGGACGTCTGCGAGCGGTTCCGCGGCTGCCCGAATTCAGCTCTCGTATACTACGCCTTCTCAGATGAGTGGCTGTGCAGCTACTGCATCGGGGACACGCGAATGGGGCTCCCGTTGTGTTCGGAGGATGGCTGGAGACGTGGCAGTTGCGTTGACACCGAAAGTCAGCAATGGTTCTGCGACTCCCATGCAGATCGTTGCGAAGCCATCGTTGAGAGACCACAAGGTCAATCTATCGGGAATGCACATCGATGTATGCGTATTGGGGCTCTCTACGAAAGTAATGTGCTTGACCGGTACTATTGTACCGATCACATGCCATACAATCAAGGACTACATGATACTGAGCCAGCTGCCGACGTAGCGATTAGCCCTCCGATGATCTCGCAGACTTTCAATCTGGACATATTTTCGACTGTGGTGGATACGGAATGTTGCATTTGTTTCGAGCCACAACGGAGCATGCGTCGACTTATAGCCTGCAACCACATGTTCTGTGAAGATTGTCTATCGAAGCAGGTCAACGGGCCATATGCGAGGGCTCATGACTGTCCGCTTTGTCGTAAAGACATATTTGATCTGAGAAGTACGGATTAAGAGACAATGTGAGTGAGATGGGGACCGCGGGTGGTTGTACCTCTCAAGATGAGCAGGCTCAACTCTGAGTATCTGACTTCTTCATCTTCTGTCGCCTCCATTGCTCTCTCTTCAATCATACTGCGCGTTTACTCGGCTAGTGGTACAAGGCAGTCAAAATCATTTGGATCACTTCTTCAAGCGCTCTCACTGCTCCTCGTTGCATTATGAGGTTTCCTCGCATCTCGCCGTTAGCGAGCGTGTTTGTTTGCTACTTTAGCCCCACTTCTACCGCAAACTTGAGATCTCAACTCCGACTCAAATCCCTCTTTCTTTGTGTCACCTACGACGTATAGGAAGTACCTCTGCCGCAACCGCCATCACAATGGCTCATCTGGCGACACCAGCCCGCCGCACGTAAGTGTCCCTCCTACTGACGACGACGTCTATTACAAACAACATACTGACATCCCTGGCTCTCAGGCTCTACAACGACCCCACGTTCTCCGACATCAAGATCCGCCAGATCTACAAGGGCAAAGTCAAGGAGTATGCGGCTCATAAGGCTGTGCTCTGCGCTCACTCGGGTTGGTTCATGGCAGCTCTGACTGGCCGGTTCAAAGTATGTATCAACCCCGGAAGTGGAACGACAGTGAGCTAATACAACATTTACAGGAAGCCTCTGCAGACACCATCGAAGTTCACGATGACGATCCGGAAACCTTCCAAAACATGATGGAGTTCTTCTACGGCTTGGATCTCGAGAGGACGCCTACCTCCGATAACGAAAACGAAATAATCAGGGACGACATAGTCCCCATTGTCGAGCTTCACGCTCTTGCCGATAAGTACGACGCCAACCTCCTGCAGAAGGCTGCTGTAGTTGCTTTCAAGGCTGGCACCGACGAGCTTGTTTCATTGCCTGATTGGAAGTCGTTCGAAATGTTGGTAAACGCACATTACTTGACTTGCCCAGGAACTATGGGTGCTATGAGTCAAGCTATCGTCAAGTATATGTACAGGATTAGCCGCTCCTATTTTCTGTGGGATGGATACTTCGACAAGTTAGCCGCAAAGCATGGCAATTTCGGTGCTGACTCGTATCTTGTGGGTCGGGCAGGTGGCAAGATCGTATTCAATTGACCGTTGTTCGATTTTCAGGTGGTATCCAAGGCATATGGAAGGTTGTTTCGGTGACAAGATGAACCGCTAAGTACAGCCTTACATGTTCATGTATGAAAGAAGACTATACAAGGAACTCTCTGCACTACAATGAAAAGCTCGCAAAAGCACCGTTCTTGCCCGGTCGGGTGATTCGAATCCTGCAGTCATCGTGTAGTGTTCACAAGTGTAGAGTTGGACAAACACAATCCTGTCTCACATATCCAACCGCTGACATCCTTCCCACTGACCCCACAACTTCCGCATAACACCCTGCCTCTCAATCGTATCCTGCAGATCCTTCAGCGCAGCAAGCCGTCCACTCCCATCCTTCATCTTCCAATTCCAACCCTCAGAGCGACCAGCCATGACGAGCTCCCACTTCGCCTTGTTGTCAATCGGCTGCACGTGCGCACCAGGCTCGCTGTACACGGTGACCACATCGCGGGCTTGCAGGAAAGCGAAGTTAGATGTACCCTGCATGCATTCACGAATCTCGAGGACCTTGAGGGCGAGATGCGAGTTGTAGACGCGCGCAGTATCTGTTTATGTTAGTTTGATATTCGTGAAGTGCCAGTTTGAGAACGTACTGAGGATACCGATCTTCATCTCATCAGCCACATCCGCAACAGCGACTTCCTTCTTCTCGTGACCCGTCTTCTCAATCATTCTGACGTTGATCTGGCGGCCGCCCACCTTGCTCCAACACAGCTCTTGTACCGCGCGCTCAGCCTCTCCCTCTCCGGTGATCTTGATGAACGTGCGTAGCGGATAAGCGAGATTCTTGACGTTGGGGAGCGCGAAGTCGGGCGAAATCGTGAAGTCCTGGAAGAGTAAGATGACGTCTCGGTGGGTGAGCTTTGGTGGGTAATTGGAGAGCTCGATGGTGGTCCAGGACATGTTGGAGAGTGAGGGTGTGGGAGAAGGAGTTGGTGTGGGTGGTGTTATCGTTATGGTGATTGGGTGGGGGAGAGGGAATCGGGGTGGGGCGAGGCGGTCTAGGTGTAGTGAGCGAACGGTCTTGGTGAAGATCTGGTGAGCGAGATTGGTCGGCTCGCCCGTTTGCGCTTGCGGTGTAGTCATTTTGGTCTACGATTTTGTGATTAGTAGTGTAGGGGAAAATGCTTTTCAATTGCAAAAAGGTTCTCGTGTTGCGGTTATGTGAGAGGTTGAGTTGCTAGGTTCAAAACTGCTCGAAGTTTACTATCTACTAGATGATGATATCCCCAGTCACTTTCACATCGAACTCGCATTCACCACTTCAATTGAGAAACGGTGGGAAGGAAGAAAGTGCTTAGGATCATGACGTATCTAGGCAACTACATCGTCTTTCCGTAGGTATGTCTCAGTGATGGTAAAGTAGCGTGGCGATAGTCAGACTACTAGCACCTTACTGATGTTTACAACAAAAGGCTGTGAAGCTACCAGGCACTCGTATTATTGAGACCTCCGCTTTCAATTGATCTCATGTAGTCCGTAACTCGACTTGATCTTTTTGGTGAATGGGAGGAGTGAGGAGGAGGCGCGTGCCCACGTGGGCTCGTGAAGTGGGGCCACGATGGGACGCGTAGCAACCCATTCGTCGCACAACCTATCGACACCGCTCCCAACCGCGAACAGCAACGACAAGATGGAGAGCGTCTACGTACCGCCACACCTTCGGAAAAAGGCAGAACCCACAACGGTATCAGACGCGCCACCAACACCCGTCGCAATACCATCAGTGGTGCCCAGCTCAAAGCCGCAAGAACGATTCGATGACGACTTGTACACCATCCGGGAAATTCACACCTACTTCTGGGGAGACGGAGCCGTCGCCGAAGATTCGCATAACGCTACCCTCCATTCGTCGGCGGCGAACCCGAACGGTCTATCGTGGGTGCTGTTGTTCAATGGCGCGAACCCGAAGTGGGACGAGGACGGGGTCATCTTTGTCAAGAGCAACCTCAACCTTCTCATGGTAGCCACACCCCCTTCTGAGCCTAAAAAGGTGATGGTTGTCGCAGTACCCGCCCAACGATTAGACGAGCCTGGTGAGGACGGAGGTGTCATGCTACCAACAACCAGCGAAGTCGCAGACGAGGATTATGAGGCGGGTTCATCGAATGGAACACCGGAGTCCACCACCACTGAGCCGCTATCAGATCACACCAACGAGAGAGTTCTCATCGACTACTCTCCAATCGCCGTCTTCGCTCAGCCTGTCGGACGTGCTAGCCAATCATTCAAGTTCATCGGATGGTACGAGATAGAACACTTGCAAATCCTCAAGCCTGGTTCCCAAGGGCTGCTTCACATGTTGTGGGACAAGTGGAACCCAAAGGACAAACACGGCAACTATGTACCAAGACAGCGAGGCTCCGTCAATTTGATGAAGAGCATGTCTTACTCGTGGGCTGTTGTCCAGATGAAGAAAGACAAAGAAGCTATGGAGAACAAGGGCGAACCGAAGATTAATAGAATGTGAGATACCGAAGATATGACAGGAGATAGCGAGGGACAGAGCGTCAATGAGATGCTTGCCCAGATGAGGCTCGAAGGCGAAGGCAACGTGGTGGCGCCCGAGGAAGGGGAGACCTGAGAACTCTCACCGCGGACCGATTTTGTCTGATCAAATGGTGAAGGATAATATCGCATAGTAGTGATGGGCGCAGACGCGATGATGGAGGAGGTAATGTCGACATTAGAAAGTCATTGAAGCAATATCAGAAGCCCTTCTTGTACCGTAGCATCCTCTCAAAGATTCCCGTCATCTTGTCCATTGCCTCTCCCATCGACATTTATGTGTTGGATATCTGTCCTCAAGAAAGTTGAGGGAGGTAGAAAAGTGGCATGAGTGATGTTTAGCCGGATGAGGCAGCCGCGTCCAAAATGCGGAGGTCGACGCGCTCCGATTGGTAGTGTCGGAGAAGGCCGATGGTGGGGCTGCCGCGGGGTATCGTCACCACTTCTGATACTATTGCCGCCGTCTCATTGCTAATCGGTAGTTCCTATTCTTTTGAAAACTGTGTTTTTCGTGCGCGCACATCGATCCTCTCAAATCTTGAACGCGTCCCTCATCTGTCCAATTGCGACAACCATCTCCTTTCCCCAAGATAACAGCGCCGATCACTGAAGCAGCACCCCACCGAAACCCCCACTTCCCCCTGAACGCGACGAAATGACCGAGTCAATCCCCAAAACGCAAACCGCAGGCTGGATCCAAGACCCCGGTCCAGATTGCGTCCTCCAAATTCGAAATGACGTCCAAGTGCAATCCCCTTCGGCCGGCGAACTCCTCGTAAAGCTCGAATACAGCGGTATATGCCACAGCGACTGCCACAACCTCGTCTCGCCCGGGAAATACACTGAGGTGCCTGGGCATGAAGGCGTGGGCACTGTCGCATCGCTGGGTCAGGGGGTGTCAGAGGACCTGCTGGGAAAGAGGGTGGGCATAAAGTGGCTGTGGAACGCGTGCAAAGAGTGCAGTAGCTGCAAGCAAGGCAAGGAGAACCATTGCGCCAAGCAGAAGAATACTGGAAGAAGCGTATGGGGTACTCTACAGCAGTACGTGGTCGCGGATGCCGAATTCGTTACCATGATCCCCGAAGGAGTTAAGAGCGAGATCGCAGCGCCACTACTCTGCGCAGGTCTCAGTCTTGCGGGTGCCGTGTCAAAACTCACGCCTGAGGTCAACCCCGGTGACTTCGTCGCTATCATTGGTGCTGGAGGCGGTCTTGGACATATCGGTGTGCAAATCGCTACAATCAAGGGATACAAGGTCATTGCGATTGACAGTGGTGCCGAGAAAGAGAAGCTGACGAAGGAGATGGGCGCCGTGGCTTTCGTGGACTACGCCAAGCAAGATGTATTGCAAGCAGTGCGAGATCTGACGGATGGAGAAGGCGCGCATGGCGTCATTTGTGTTGCTGGCAGCGAAAGAGCGTATCTTCAAGCTCCGGCTTTGGCGAGGAATAGTGGCGTATTTGTCTGTGTGGGACTTCCGCCGGATACGTTCATGTTCCCTATGAGCCCGATCCATATCGCCAACAGAGGTACGCTCCTGCACCTGTATTGATTGAAACAGGACTAGTGCTAACAAAACCAGGGCTCGTCATCAGGGGATCCTCAACCGGTAGCGCCAAGCAAATGGATGAGCTATTGCAGATGGCTTTGCAGGGCAAGATCACACCGAAGGTCGAGGTTTACGACTTTGCCGACTCTCCGAAGATTCTTCAGGAGTTGCAGCGTTATGAGGTTACGGGTAGGAAGGTGGTACGGGCACCGTAAAAGTGTGGTGAGGATTTTCGGAATGTAGTAGTTGAGCGCACGCAACGGGGTGGTGTTTCGCATGTGCGGGGTGTGGCGTTGAGGCTACTCAAGGCGCGGAGTTTAGCATATGACAGCGCTGGAGCGATGCATGAAGAGGAGTTGAGGGCTTGTCGTGGAGTAGGGGGTAAGGTTGGAGGGTGTATTGGAGGCGCAATATGATACCCTTGTAAAAGATTAGGGTTTTAGGGGAGCGCGGTTATGACGAATGCACTATCCTGAGCTCGCTAAGGCGCTATACGGGTCGTCCGGACATCCCCATGCTATCGCGTACATTAATCATTACATGAATGTCGACTAATACCAGTCTCCGCTCTCTTCGTTTGCCTTCACGTCCATAGGATTCATACTCATGATCCGCTGCCCGGGTATCGTGTCCGTGAACGCACTCTCAAACACACCACTAACAGCTCTTCGTCCGATCTCCTTGAAACTATCGTATTCCTGGTTATCACCAGTGATAGCACTCCATTCGGGATCCTCAGGGCTGCGCGCAGGGCCTAGATCACTCCATCGCGTTACGATGAGAGCCTGCTTGAATCGTTCAGGACCGTTGCCGCGCACGCTCTTGTCTTCAACAAGTTTGAGTTCGAATAGGTATTCGGTCGGGCATCTGGGGCAGCGGCGCATTGGTCGGCATATGGAACAGAGATTGACCATACCAACAGCCTTCTTTCCTATGCTGCGTTCGCGGAACTTGTCGAGGGCTGTCGTTTCGGATTCGTGTGTATGCGGAATATGTGATAGTGCACATTTGGGTATTGATGTTAACAGCCCGTGCTTCCAATGTGCGCAAACGCTGAAGTAGGGCGTGAAGTCCCCACGGCTGAACAAAAGCATACGCTTTGCTGCATCTGTCATACCCCCTTCCACGTACTGTTGTGATCGAATGCGCATCAATAGGTGACCTTTGTCGGTAATGTGATAGGTAGAATCATGCCTCCAGGTCGAATAGGTGTCTTTCCAACGGCGGCCTAGCGACTGGTGAGGAATACCGTAATCTGCACCGTAGGCCCAATGACGTCGGGCTAATTGAGCGAATGCGAATGGTAATGTGCGACCTTCGCTAATGCGGAGCCTTGGTGGAGGAATATGAACGTTGGTTCGATTGGGGCACTCAAAGAGTGGATTGAGAACATTGGGAGGCTTCATTGTCTCCATACCAGGCTGAATGCGCAAGTGCCACTGTGCGCATGGGAAACAGAAAAGATGGCGTGGCATCTTGTGGTCCATGGAAAGTAGAAAGTCGAGCCGTTGCGGCCGATGGAGCGGATCCATGAGCAGTTTGTATGGGTGTCTACCTAACCGAGCGTACATGGTCCGGCATGTAGAGGATAGGTTGGCAACGTCGAGCGGTGATAGGAAGTCTGCAACATGAAGCCACACTTCAGGTGATGCGCTGCCGAGTAATGCTGTTCCGTCAGGTTTCGTAGGATCATAGAGTAAAGATACATCATCCCGTTCTTCCTCAATCGTATCAACACCATCAATGTATGTGAAAGCATGCATCATGTCTGTCAGATCCTTTCTTTCTCCGGTATCTTTGTCAAGAATGTCATCGGCCTTGACATGCTTTGAAGGCGCGCGATGAGACTTGGTCAGCTTTGATGGCTGCGATCTCGATGGCGCGTATGGTAGGGTCTGCTCATTGCCCGACTGCGGTATTGATGCAGATCTCGAGCTGTGTGGTTGATACAAAGGCGCGGCATACTGTGGTTGTCCTTCTGAGTTGCGGCGGTAATCGGCCGCTTGCTGCCCAGGTTGTAGGTAGGCGTTGCTGGTATCCATGAGAGCATTAACAGCAGCATATGGATGATCACGCAACGCATGCGGCGCGAGGCCAGTGATGTCTTCATTGGTAGGTAAGCCAAAATTGTTGTCTGAGAGATCGGTTCTCTCGTTCGTAAAGCTACCAGAGTCTTGGCGGTTGGGGTTCGCTACGTTGGTGGTTGAGTCAAGCTTTCCGAGCATATCGCTTCGTGATCCCTTCTTGGAAAGTTTCTTCCGCGTAGCCGGCTCTTTTGGTTGTTTCCCTGATCGCATGCCAAACATGGCGCGCAAGCCGCCTTTCTTGGTTTCTGGTTCCGCCATTGTGGAGACAGCTGCAGCTAGTCGTGCAGGTGATTAGGGAATCTCGCAGCGCTCAAGACGAAGATGAGGGTCGGTCGATATGGATGATGGACGATGTGCTATGCGCAGGTGTTACTGATACGGTTCCCCAGAGAAATGGTTTGTCAAACGATGTTTATCGAAATTGCAGCAGGGTGGATGATCATCGTCATAGCGTGGCGGCTCGTTTCGGCACAGGATCCGTACTCATCCGCTCAATTCGTCCACTAGTGAGCTCAGTCTGTGGGTACGCATGTCGTCATGAGTGAAGTGTGCATGCGATGGGGTGCAGTCCAGACCGCTTAAAGATCACGATGTTGGAGCTGGCAATGCGCGATGGGATTGTGGGCACGCGTAAGGTGCGCGACATGCATTGACCATCTGACGTAATCCGCTAGAAGTTTGCCGATCCCCTTTAGTCCCCACCAGACCCAACCTCCTCGCCAACGCAGAACAGCATGCGCCTTTGACCCGACTACACCCACGCCTGCCACCTCTTTCTTGCCGACCCTTTATATGTCGAACGGACTGGCCAAGACAATCCGAAACCACGTTTTCGTACGAAGAAATCAATCGATCTCGAGCTGGGAGATAGCACCTAGGAGGTCATCCTCTTCGAGCATATCGCCTATGGGCTGTGTCGCTGCACTGTGCACGCCTCTACCCAACTTTCGGCGGATATCTTCGATGGTATCATGATCCTGGACGGTTTGTACACCGTTGTGGGTGCTGAGCGCATCGAACAGTGTCGTCAATCGCTCACAATGATGATTGTCAGCCATAGCGTCAAGCGCCGGTGCAACAGGAAAGATGAAGCCGACCAGTATCTGCATGTTCTTGTGCAAGAAGACATAGTCCGACTTGACCATGATCTCTATCATGTCGAGCGTAATGGTCTGTACCCAGGTTGGTGCGCCAATCTTCATGGCTTCGGAGATGCTCTTGAGCAGCCGTTCGATAGCTGGCAATTCCCAATCCTGTGTTGTGGTAAATAGCTTCGAGCTAGTTTCAACTGCCTGGTCAAGTTCCTCAGGCGGAATGACGCTGAATCGACCCCTGCCGTATACATACTCGACCTTGGCAGAGACTGTGTCCTCGGCCGCATCAGAGTCGGTATCTTCCCAGGTACAGGTATACCCTGACTCTGTGTGTTGTTGATACTGGTCAGACCTGCCGAGTATGTCGCACATGTGCTTGATCAGGGCCTTCTCTTGCTCCGTCCTCTCATAGTTTTCCTTCTTCAAAGCCATCAGAATATCGGTAACACGGCTAGACTTCATGTTCTCATTGGCGGTGTCGAGCAGTGGAATAGCTTTGTACGCGAACGGAAAGAACGTGTCGTAATTGTTGTGGAAGGGCAGGTAGAGAGAGGTGGCCATCTTCTCCAACAGGCCGCAACCCACGTTCACCGCTATTGCCGATCCGCGTTGTCCGACAGAAAAGGCTCTGAGGAGGCTGAGCGAGAAATCCAGTACGTTGACGGATCCGGGTTCCCAGATCGGTCGAGCGATGAACTCCCCGGCAGCCTCGAGGATGTACTTGCCCGCGATGTCGGCACCCACGATACTTTTGGCGTTGACGACTTCGAGCTCCAGATCCGGATCGATTGTGTCGAACAAAGCCCTGGCACAACCTGATTAGCCGGGACCTTGCTGCATTGTGGGGAATACCTTACCTGTAGAGCTTTACGCCCACTGTGGCCCAGCTCGATTGACTCACAATCTTAGCGTTGACGACATTGACGAGCGCGTGAAGTTTCAGTAGATCTCTACCGACAAGGGCGAGGAGCAACTGGACCTGGGCTTGTACCGTGCTGTCCGGGGTCTGACTATCGACAGAATCAACGACATCGCGGATGAGCTCAGTGAAGTCGAATTGCTCTTGGTAGACGTCATTTGGAAGCTGCGCAGATACGTCTTCAACTACAAATGTAGCTGATGCCATCTTGTTGTGTTGCATGATTGCGCGAGAGATTGGTGTTGTGTGAGAAAATCCTACGCGTCGAGGTGTTGGGATTCAACACAATGGGCAGGAGCAAACGATGAAGGCTTGGCGTTGGGCGCAGGGTCAGGGTCAAGCACACTGGCGGCGAAGATGCGCCTACAATATTGACACATGATAGTACATTGGCTGCTGAGAAGAATTGCAACAGCAGACTATCTGATGTTCTTATGATACAAGACACTGTCCCTCTCCGCCAACCGTGTGTGCCAGACAAGCCTTCCACACTTCGCGTTATGCCAGATCCTTGCTTTCACAAAACCCAGGCATTCTTCCTCAGGGAAATTAGTCCTGCGACCTTGATCTTGGACATTAGATCCTCGTCCGCGTTCACTGTGCGCTCGCGTACTTTCTCCAAAACCCTCGTGAGCTCCGCTTCAGTAATCGGGTTCTCATCCAGACCACGCGCAACGAATTCCACGTACTCGACAAACAGGTCGATGTTATGGTTGCTGAACAGATGCTGTGCACTTACCATCATATCCAAGATCCAAACATTTGTCTTGAGCGACATAAGGAGAGTTGATGATGTTGCGTCGGCTACAGAGGTAGAGGTACGAAGTCACTATATGTTTCACATGCACTTCGTAGAGGCAAGACTTACCTAGTTCAGCGAGGAGCCACATGCGCGGTTGGCACCATGTGGCTTCCTGCATGTCGGCTTGAAAGTCGGCCAGCGAGCGGTTGTAGATGTAGTGTTGGACGAGACGCGCGCCGGAGCGTAGCTTGTTGTTGCCATCGGGGAGTACGTTTGGGTCGGCCAGTGTTGCTGGGATAAGAAGGCAGAGATAGTTCAGCAGCTTAACTGCGACGTATACCCAATTCTTGTCTTCCATAGCGCTCGCGTAGATGATGTCGACCGTGTGTCTCAACTTGACTGGGTCCGCGTCGATATTCTCCGTCACCTCGCGCATGACGGCTTCGGCAGTCTCGTCTAACACGTTCACTGGGATGCTGAAGATCAGGTGGACGACCGCCATGCGGAACATGTCTGAAAACACAAGCGAAGGAGCGATAAACGGGCCGTTCATGTTGAATTGAGACGAGTGCAGGTGGCGTGGTATTGTGGTGTTGTGGATGTAGAAAGGTTGGTGTGAGCAAGTTTTAGGCAGGCAGCAAGCTTTGCACTGAAGACTCTTCGAGGTCGCACAAATCGTCTCGACAGGGTCTTTTGACTAACGCGAATTCAATATGACTTTGTTGCTCTCAGAAGAGATTTTCCTCAGCTTCTCGACCTCCACGTGGAGTTACGCGCGATCATATAGTCTTTGCTTTGGATGGCCTTCCAGATTCCCCAAAACCCGCCTAATGGCCATATGCCTCTCAGCTTCAACCCCATATCTTTGTTTGCCATACTCGTATACTTTTCGATATCGACATGCACTTTGTCATACACCTCAGGCAGCATCTCCGCGTTGTACTCCTTCCTCAACCCTTGGTGCCATTTGCGATCGAATTGCGCCCAGAAGTCATCTTTACTGTAGTATGTCTGCGCATACAGCCACTTCATACCGCCCATCTCTCCGAGTGTCTTCTCGAGCGCGCGGTTCTTCTGCAAGTAGGTGACAGGGTCTTTAGGACCAAACCCCCAAAGACCAATATTGAGCATTTGGTCTGACTTCAGGGCGCCTTTGGTGTGAGGGTGCATAGTCGGTTGGGGGCTTTGCTTCAACGGGCAGAGCCAAAGAGGCCAGATTCCAAATTCCTTGTCGGTATAGTTGATGAACTTTTCGGCGTTGGGGTAGGGTAAAGCCATGTCTTGGACGATATAGCGTGTCGCAATTCCGGACGCATGGAGAGCTCGGTAAAGCATGCGCGTGTGAAGGAAGTCGTCCAGGAACCAGCGAGTGTACTTGTTGAAGGGAAAGCGCATGTAGCTGAAAGCGGACCGACCGACCCAAAAGCCACCACGGTCGTAACGGAACATGTACTCGGCTAAGGGGATGTACTCCACCACTGGCTTGGTAGAGTTTTGTGTAGCGGCTTCGACATGCAGATAGAACCAAGGATCCCACGGGTTACTGAAAGTCTGCGGCTTGGTGTTGGGTGGCAGATCATCTGTCATCTCGCCAGTGACGATCGCACCGTGCTCCTTGCTGAACAAGACGCCATCAACATAATCATTCCTCTCGCCTTTTTCACCACGTGTATGGTCTTCGACTTCCTTGACAGCTTGAGCAACGCTACGTGTAGGATAGTATGTTGTCTTGACATATTTCCTCGCCTCGATGAGCTTCAAATCGACAAGCGTAGTAACCCCCAAGGTACCGACAGCGCCAGAAGCCCCTCTGAACAGGTCCTCATTCTTCTTCTCGCTAGCTTTGACGACCTCACCGTCGGCCATAACCATCTCCACCTCATTGATAGTGCGATCGAAGAACCCAAACTTAAAGCTACTACTCTCGCCAGCTGTACCCGCATACCCGCCACCAACAGTGATACCAGGAAACTCCATCACGACGGGTGGCACAAGACCATGCGGTAGCGTAGCTTCTACAAGCCGATCCATAGGTACGTTTGGCTCGACAAGAGCTGTCTTGTTTTCCGTATCAACGCGTATGACATTCCGAAGAGCGCTGATATCTACGACATGCTTCTTAAGATTCGGACGCGTGCTGTTTGTCGAGCCGTGAGATATCCGGAAGGGTTCTTTGCGCGTAAAGTAGTCTTTGACTTTGGACGCGACTTGCGCAACGACGCGCTGATGGCGATCCATCTTTGAGGGAGGAAAAAGAAATGAAAACGCCCGGAAATGCCAATGCTATTGATACATGATGTGAACTTTCGATGTGTGGTTGGGGGTACGCGACTGCCGGTCGAAGTCGGGACAGACGCAGATTTTCTCCGATGCGCTAAACTTCACTCATCTGGCTAGCGCTCCCTGAACACCTTCCATCCTGATCACATCACTTCTATCGCTCAAGCCTTGTCACTACTACGATATCGTTGACATTCTATACGCATCGCATTACTGCTAGCTGTACTCAGGCCTTGCTCGATATCACGATCTGATTGATCCACGGCATCCCCTAGAGAGCCTCGACATGCGGCTGGTCTATGACCTCATGATGTTTTTGGAAAAGAAATGCGGGAAGTGTCCTAAGGAAGGAAGTAATTGAACGGGCGTAGAGCTGAAACTGTAGAAACCCTCTCTGCAATACGGTATAGCCTGTCATCGCTGTATGCACCGTCGCGGTTCCATAGACTTGGGACACGGTCTTCCTGAAATGGTTTAGACCGTCCCCAGGCGAACTTATCGCATACGTCCTTAGAGCTAACAACAAGTCATGTCTTGCGACAACGCGTCCCTTCGTATTTATCACCGCCGTCCCGCTTGATAGCCAAGATGACTCCTCTTTTCGGCTTTCACTTCTTATCATTTGCCGCCATTTGTGCTCCCTGCGGAGGTTACATCGGCCTTGCAGAAGCGGGGCGAGTAACAAACAGCCAAGACATGGTATATTCATCCTGTGATATGTTCACGACAGCGAACTGAGTGCGCGATCACTTGTATCGTCTCATACCGACAATGTTGATTTTGGTGTTGTCGCAGTTTATCGGCCTCGTTACCGCGCTGCAACCTCTTCCGCCTGTCTCACCACGCTACAGCAACAGCGACGACCTCGGCTTCTCTATCGGCACAGATGCAAGAAAGATATATATCGACAGAAGTTTCGCCACAAAGAGAGACTCCGAAGGTCTAACGCTCATACCGCCAACTGCCTATGAGTTCGCTGAAACATTCCGCACCGACATCTCATCACTATTCGGTGGTTCCTGGACTCTGGAGCAAGTAGACAACTTCCCACTCACTGGCATCCATATCGGCCCGATTCGATACAGTAATCTCTCATTGACATACGAGAATGGTCAGCCTACAGAAGAAGGATATGAGCTTGAGGTTACCAATGGCACTGTATACATAGGCGGAGCAGGTGCGAGAGGCATGTTCTGGGGAACGCGCACCCTACTGCAGAAGTTCTTGATCGACAACGGCTCTCTCATGACGGGTCGGATACTTGATGCGCCTGCATACAGCACACGAGGGTTCATGCTCGACGCGGGTCGTAAGTGGTACGATAAGGACTTTCTCAAAGAGCTCTGCACATATGCCTCTTTCTTCAAAATTTCAGAGTTCCACTATCACTCTAGCGACAATTATCCCTTGAACCGTGGCCGCAATGAGACGTGGCAAGACGTGTTCTCGCATTTTTCGCTGTTCCCGGAAGAAAATGTAGAACTGCAGGCCATCATTCAGCGCCCAAACGAGACACTTTCACGTGTCGAATTCGAAGACTTCCAACAGCATTGTGCGCAACGTGGTGTCACCGTCATTCCCGAGATCGAAGCACCGGGCCATGCCTTAGCGATTACGAAATGGAAGCCTGAGTTAGCGCTAGCAAAGAAGGACCTGCTCAACCTGAGCCATCCGGACGCAATTCCAACAGTCAAGGCAATCTGGTCTGAGTTTCTCCCATGGTTTCAAACGAAGGAGGTACATATCGGCGCTGATGAGTACGACTCCGATCTAGCGGACGACTACATCAATTTCGTAAACGAGATGGCCGACTTCATCAGCAGCACTTCTGGGAAGCGCGTACGTATCTGGGGCACTTACGAGCCATCCGAGAACCTCACCATCTCGAAAGACATCATCGTACAACACTGGCAATACGGCCAATCTGACCCTCTCGAGCTCCAGAACGATGGATACGACATGATCAACTCTGAGGATTGGTGGGCATACATGAGTCTCAAGAATGATCATATGCCCATCCTTCCGGCGCCGTACCCGCAGTTCTACAATAATACGCGCACCATGAACTTTGCCAACGTACCAGGATGGCAGTGGGAACCATCGCTCTACAATCCAGTCAATACCACAGAGCAGCTGGAGCCCAGGGCTAGCGGCAACAAAGGCGCTATTCTTGCTGCTTGGAACGATAATGGTGCGGATG